TACAAGACAAAAATAAATCACCTTGATGAGCAGGAGGCTATAGTGGTGTGTAAGGATTCAAAATCACGCAGCTGCTTCAGTAATTCGTGTAACCAAAAGGAAATGGTTACAAAATTAAGAGTGGGGGAAATCAAGTTGCAGAAGGGACTACAGACGTGCGGAAAGAAACATGATGGGACTACATACATATTTGCAGATAAAAAGCTTTCAAGAGTGATTCAGGGCCCTCTGACCACTATGATTTGAGATAGGACTAAAATTTCCATCAAGGACATATCCAGCCAGGCAGGTTCCTCAGGACTATACTGCGTCTCCGGACTCATCAGGGGAGTGGTAGCGAACACATTCTGCCTGAAAGCAAACTTCTTTACATTGCTGACCAGTGATCAAAAGGAACTCAGAGGAGATTGAATCTATGAGTCAAATGGATTTAGGACTCCCACTCTAAACCTAGTGTACAGAATTTAAGCTGTCGTGCAGTGCTCAATTGTTTACATCTCTCTTGGTTCTCACACCAACCATGTGAAGGAGATATCAATTCCATTTTTTTTAAACGAGGAAACTAAAGCCCAGAAAGAGGATTGTGGGTAGCTTTAAATTCATAATTAGTTGCCCACACGATCAATGTTGTTAGTGTTGTCAGATGCCGTAGCATTGGTTCCGCTCAACCGAACACTGCTCAGTCCCGCACCATCCTCACAATTGTGCCCATGGTTCCACCTATTGTTGCAGCCACTGTGTCAATCCATCTGGTTAAGGGGTTTCTTTTACACTGACCCTCTACTTTGAGGCAATTGAAAATACCATGGCTTAGACCAGACACAGCTTAAATCTTTAAAGCTGTATCTTTGCTCTCTAACGTTTTAAAGAGTTCTTGTACAATAGATTTGCCTCATGCAATAAATATGTTCTTTGGTTTTTTTGACTGCTTCGTTTGTAACTTTTGGTTTTGGATCCAAGTAAAATGAAGTCTGCCATCTTCCACTTTTTCTCCATTTATCATGATGTCTTTTTTTCCCCCTTCAGTTGTGACTTAAACATGTTCTTGGAATTGATCAAGTCATTTAAAAACTCCCAACACAACAAGTCCAGAACCAGATGGTTTTGCCAGGGAATTCGACCAAACATTTAAAGAAGAGTTAACTCAAACTATCCTAAAATATAAAAAAGTACAGTAAACTCCCGAGTACATTTTATGAGTTGAGCATAACTGATACCCAAACCAAGCAAAGACATTGTGAGAATAGAAAATTATAGCCCAATATTCCTTAGGGAGGAGCCCTGGTGGCCTAGTGGTTACAGGCTGGGCTGCTAATCTAAAGGTCAGCAGTTGGAAACCACCAGCCGCTCTGTGGGAGAAAGATGGGGCTTTCTACTCCCATCAAGAGTTACAGTCTCTGAAACCCATAGAGCAGCCCCTACCTAGTTTGATGAAGTCATCTATGTGTGGCAGGCACCAAGACTTCATTTCTCTTTGTGTTTGAGTCACATTGATTGTATGCACTCCTGTGTACCATATTTTGCTTATTGGGATTGGAGGAAGACTCACTAACAATGTGTGATATGCAGATGACACAGCCTTGCTGGTTGGTAGGGTGAAGGACGTGTAGCACTTGCTAATGTAGATCAAGGACTGAAGCCTTCCATATGTACTGTAACTCAATGTAAAGAAAACCCAGATCCTTGCTTGCAACGGAACCAATAGAAAGCATCACGATAAACAAAAGAGAACGAAATTGTCAAGGCTTTAGTTCTGCTTGAATCCACTATCAGTGCTCATGGAAGGAGCAGTCAAGCGATCAAAGGATGCATTGCATCGGGCAAATCTATTGCACAAGGCCTCTTTCAAGTTTTGAAGAGCAAGGATTTCACTTGAGGACTAAGGTGCGCCTGACCCACACCAAAACTCACTGCCGTTGGGCTGATTCAGACCCAAGTGACGCTTTAAGAAGGCAGAACTGCCCCTGTGGGTTTCTGGAACTGCAACTCATTATGGGAATAGAAAGTCTCATGCAGAGTGGCAGGTAGTTTTTGGACTGCTGAGCCAACATGTAACATACTGCACCACACCTGACCGGAGCCATGGTGTTTTCAATCATCTCATATACACGTGAAAGCTGGACACGGAAGAAGAAGACTAGAGAAGAAGTGATGCATTTGAATCACGGTGTTGACAATGAATAGTGAAAGCATCATGGACTGCCGGAAGAAAAACCAATCCGTCTTGGAAAATGTACAATCAGAATGCTCCTTAGAAGCCAGGATGGTGAGACTTCATCTCACATACATTGGACTGCTTTTTTTTTTAAATCATTTTATTAGGGGCTCGTACAAATTCTTATCACAATCCATGCATACGTCCATTGTGTCAAGCACACTTGTATATTTGTTGCCATCATCATTCTCAAAACATTTGCCTTCTACTTGAGTCCTTAATATCGGCTCCTCATTTTCCCCCTCCCTCATGAATCCCCTCCCTCATGAATCCTTCATAATTCATAAATTATTATTATTTTGTCATGTCTTACATTGTCCGACGTCTCCCCTTGCCCACTTCTCTGTTGTCTAGCCCCCAGGGAGGAGGTTATATGTCAATCTTTGTAATCGGTTGCCCTTTTCCACCCCACCCTCCCTCCACTCTCCAGGCATCGCCACTCTCACCACTGGTCCTGAAGGGGTCATCTGCCCTGGATTCCCTGTGTTTCCAGTTGCTATCTGTACCAATGTACGTCCTCTGGTCTAGCCGGATTTGTAAGGCAGAATTGGGATCATGATAGTGGGGGGAAGGAAGCATTTAACAACTAGAGGAAAGTTATTACTAGGAGAGATCATTCCTTAAAGAAGGACATCAAGCTCGCTGAAGTAGTCAGCGAAAAAGAGGAAGACCCTTGACAAGCTGGAGTGATACTGACGCTGCCATAATGGGCTCAGGCATGACAGTGACTGTGAGGACTGTGCAGGACCAGGCAGAGTTTCGTTCGGTTTTACATAGGGTCACTATGAGTCTGAAATGACTCACAGACGGCTGACCAGAACAATAACAACACGTGAGGAGGTGTGAGGCAACATTGTTTATGTTGTCCAAAAGATTAAAAGAAAACGAACCTAAACAAAACCCAGGAAAAAACCCAAATGGGCATAGGGAAGTAAGTGGTCAAATACATGTTGGTTCATGTAAAAAAGGGAATGTTATATTTTTTTATTAAAAATACTTTTTCTATAACCATGTATGCTAGAGTACAATACATAGGAAATGCAAATAAGATTAGAAAATGGGGGGTGGAATTCATGATCCCAGACCCAGAGGTATCGTCAAGGTATATATATTGTGTTTTTCTGAGTGTGTGTACAGATGCCTTTATAGATGAATACTTGTATATATAAAGCAGACCAGAGAAGAATTGTTGCATTTGAATAATTGTGTTGGAGAACTGAAAGCACAAACTCACTGCCACCAAGTTGATGCCAAGTCATAACGACTCTTTATATGGGTTTTGAGGCTGTAAATCTTTACAGGAGCAGACAGCCCCATCTTTCTCTTGCAGAATGGCTTGGGGAGGGGGTTGAACCACAGACCTTGCTGTTAGCCATCTATTGCTTGCTTGGACTTGTTGGAGAAGAATATTGAAAGGACCACCAACTGTCAAAAGAATGAACAAGTCTGTCTTGGAATGAGCACTACTGGAAGTTCCCTTACAAGCAAAGATGGTGAAGACTTCCTGTGGCCTACTTTGGACACGGGCTCAGGAGAAACCAGTCTCTGGAAAAGAACACCATGCTTGGTAAACCAGAGGGTCGGTGAATAGCAGAGGAAGGGTCTCACGGAGCTAGATTGACGGATTGGCTGCAACAATGGGCTCCAACATTGGCACGATTGTGGAGACGAGGCAGAACCTAGCCTGGCAGCACCCACCCATCTAAACAGAAATAAAAGATCATGGAAATCGCCGTAAGCTTTCGGAAGTCATCCTATATGTATCCTCCTCTAACCAATGACAATGGTATTACATTTCACACACTCCACGGGTGTGCAAACGGTGAAGTTCTCCACTACTATCCAGTCGTTAGAATACACCCAGTGATGCCTCTGAAGACAGGCCTGGTGTTTCCGAAGCCTACAGCCACGATAACCCCGTGGAGCAAGCTCCGCTCTGCACATGAGTCGCCACGAGCTAGAAGAATTGACTGGATGGCAACAGACCATAGCAATATCTCACGCTCGTTCCCGCCCCCCATGATTTGCTCAGGAATACTAGTCCATTTCAATAAGGACTCACCTGCAAGCCTAGCTTTTTTCAAAAACTGTACAGCACTTTATTTTGCCAAGACTCCATCATTCAGCCAAATCGCTTATCTTGGAGTAGCTAAGTGGATGCTAGTTTCACCTTTTATGAAACACCTTCTCGGGCTAAAACAGCTAGAAGGCTTTGGGGATGGTTTTCCAATGGGCTCTTAGAAACTTCTGGGTGTCTGAGTAGTCAGAGTAGATTCCCATCATTCGTATCCACTATCTTCGCAGATAGTAACGACTATCGTGTTTCCGACTTGAAAGACTGGTCTTATCCTGCCCGTCAGTCATAAGTGGCCTAGCTAGGACTCGGGTTTTAAAATCCCAATGCCCTCCTCCGGCTCTTGCCTCCTTCCCGCTTCCCCCCTCGCGGTCCCCCCACCCTCCCCCTTTCCCGCTCGGAGGCCTGGCCTATGGCAAACGCCAAGAATTAATTAGGGGCGGGGATTAAGGAGCGACTGTCAGGAGGTCGCCATATTCCTGTACAGCAGCGAGGCAGCTCCAGCAATCGGTGGGTCGGGCGAGGTGCTGACAGGGCGGGCCCGCTCGCTCCGCTCGGCTGCCTTCCCCCCTCCTGCTGGAGACAGGTGGCTGGAGCACGCCCCGCCCCCGCCAGCTGCGGGGAGGAGCCAGGGAGGGAGGGCCCCACCCCGCCCCAGACGCCCGCGGCCAGCTGCGAGTGCGAGTTGGCGAGGGCGGACGGCGGAGCGCCGAGTTCGGCGCTGGCACACGAGTACCGTGGCAGCCAAGAAAATGCTTATGTGCCGGGGGGCCCCCGTGAGCAATCACGTGCAGGGCCCTGGGCTCCCCCGGCTGGGCGGCAGCTTGCAGGCCTTAGGGATCCGCTTGAGCGCGGTAGGTCCGGGCTGAGGGGGGCGGACGAACACGCGCGGGTCCCGCCGGGGCTGCGAGGGGCGCACAGGGAGGGTCCGGCGGGCCCGAGGCCTTCACGTGGGATGGGACCTTCTCGCCCCCCCAGATGAGCCCCCGTTACCTCCAGAGTAACTCCAGCAGCCACACGCGACCCTTCAGTGCCATCGCGGAACTGCTAGGTGAGTGCCAGCGTAAGTAGGGGGGGGGGGCACACCGGGGGCGCCGGGCAGAAGAGGGGTGGACTCCGTCGCCTGGAGGGACGTTCAGGGGGGCGGTTGGTGTCAAAGCTAAGGGAGCAAGGTGTCAGCAAAGTTCGGTCAAGTGGCCAGCGGTGGTTCCCTGGGGCTCGTGATGTGCAGGCGCTTGAGGAGAGCTTGGTGAATAACCCGGAGGCGATGCATAAAATAACGGGCCCGAGGCAGCTCGGCGCCGTGGCGACTGGCACGCGCCTGATTGTGGTGGGGGTGGGGTAGGACGTAGAGGAAAGGTCGGGGGAAACGGAGTTCTGCAACTGCGGGGACGAAAAAAGTCTAGGAATGATGGGACAGCTCATCAGAGATGACACGAGTGCATTTGGCTCCCGGCGATGGCCGAGGGCTGCGTCCGTGGTCCACGAGCGCCCTCACACCGCTGGAATGAGTCCTGAGGACTTCACCTCGCGCGCCTCCGCCCGCCTGGGGTTGGCTCTTAAAGAGTTGGGTTTGGGGTTTTTTTTGGCGGCGGGGGGACGGAGGGGAGGGCTTCTGGCCCCCAGGTCGCCAGCTTTTGCAGCAGTATGTTTAAACACTGCGTGGAAAGCCACGACGATAAAGCAGTCTGAGCCAAATGCTGCAGCAGCATAGAGAGCACAATGTAAAACCACGCTTCAGGTCCATTCCGACTCATCAGGAGCACACTTCAATTAGGGAAAGAAAGGAGAGCGTCCTGGGGCCAAGTAGCGCAGAACAAAAAAATTTTTTAATCAGTTTATTGGGGGTTCATACAACTCTTATCACAATCCATACATACAGCCTTCGTAGCAAGCACGATGTACATTTGTTGCCATCATCCTCAAAACACTTGCGTTCTACTTAAACCTTTGGTATCAGCTTCTCAGAGAACAAAATCTTAAAAAGGGTTTCAGAGTCCCGCCCAGGAGCCCCAATCCGGACTTAAAGGACTGAAAGCAATCGCTGTGAGAGTTCCCTGGGAGTTGTTTGGAACCTGAAGCTGGTGGGCTAGCAGCAGGGGATGGATGACCCCAGAGGCATTTGGAAGAGTGATAGAGAACTATGATGATTGTCTGTCTCAAACACATGATGCTTTCTGACCACTGTTGCCATTAATTAGAAAAAAAATCAACTAATGATTAGAAAAACCAACTTATATGGACCCCATGTAGGGCATTGGACTGCGATCCACAAGGTCCACAGTTTGAATCTACCATCCGCTCTACCGGAGGAAGAAGTGGCTTTCTATTCTTGTAAAAAGTTTTTCTCCGAAACTCACAAGGGCAGGGACTGCCCGTATGATCACTGTGAGTTCACATTGACTCAATGGCACCGAGTTTAGTTTGGTTTGGTAGGGCTTTCAAGACTGTAAATCTGCACTGATTGTTTCCCCACCAGGTGGGGTTGAACTGCTGACCTTGTGGTTAGCAGCCCAATGCCTGATTCACAAGAGCCCCAGGGCTCCTTGCTAAATGGCAGGTGCGACAAATAAGGTAGCTTTTTTTTTAATGCACAGAACAGGGATTTTAACTTTTTTTTGGGGGGGGGGTGCGCAAAGAGGGAAAAGTCACAATTACAGAGTGAGCTTTGAGAGACAGAGCTGTGATGTGCTCTTAGAATTGCATGTGCAAAAGCATATGTACCTATACTGTACTGTGCACACTGTAATTTTTAGGTGAGTTAAAGGGCTTTCAGTTCAGTAGTTTGCATATATATGCTTTATGTCTTCGGGATACATTTTTTAAAAACCCTCAGCCCTAGCCTGAGATGTTCAATATCACTGTGTGTGTTTCTGTGATACACATGCATACAGACCCACAGAATTTAAAACCCAAGTCACCATGTTTTAGTGTGATCTTAATACTAGAGGAACGGAGCAAAGTGTTTTCTGTTTACTTTAACCTTCAATGGTTTTTCTGCCCCATTACTTTCCCAGGCAATCGATTCATTTCTCACTGCCATCGAGTCAGTGCTGACCCCTAGAGACCCTTGTGGGTTTTCCGAGACTGTAACTATTTATGAGAGTAGAAAGCCCAGTCTTTCTCCCTTGGAGCTTCCCAGGGTTCCTAACTGCCAATCATGTGGCTTGTAACCATTACACCACCAGCGCTCCCTAATCTATTCATTTAGTAAATACTCATTGGTCACCCATTGTGTGCAAACCACAATAATCTGTGCTGAAAAATCAGCACAGCACAGATTCTTTTAGCAGGGGACAAAAATAAGAAACCCATGTACCAGATGCATGTGCTTTGTAGACCAATAAATGGAATTGTATCAGCAAAGATGAAGCAAGTACTTTGGGAATTCAGAGGACAGGAGGGATGACTTTCAGCTTACTTGGGAAGAGGAAGGTTAGGACAGGCTTTATAGAGGAGGTGATATTTGAGCTGAGATTTGAAGGATCAGGACATGTGGGTATGAGTGTGCCTACAGGGTTTTGCAGGGGTGAGGGTGTTGGGTGGTTCAGACATTCCAGGCAAAAGAAACAACTGTGAATAAAGGCATGGAAAAAAAACACTTAAGTGCTTCAAGTTCACAAATAGTAGAAGCTGTGACATTCACAAATAGTAAAACTGATTGGTCTCTAGTTCGAAAAGAGCTTTCACAAAGAACTTTAAAAATTTTTTAAATGGTGGTTTTCTAATTCTCACCTTCACTCTGCAGTAAAGGGAAACAGACCCAGAAAATTGAATTGTCCAAGGTTACATAGCTAGTGAGTGGCAGAGGCAGTACTCAAACACAGGTCTTTTTACTCATAAGTACCACGCAGGAAAATGGGGTTGGAAAGGTGAATTGGGAGCCCAGGATGTGACTCAGTGACTTGGTACAGAGACGTGTACTCTGAAGTTTTCTGAGTACAGAGATGTCAAATCAGAAACATGGTGCAGCAAAGTCCATTTTGGAGCAGTGAGTGCTTAAAGTGAACTGGAGAATAGACACGACACTGAAAGACAGTTAGGGATTTATCCCAATGATTAGAGTGGGAGAAAGTGAGCTCTGGAACCTGAGTGACAATGCGAATAAACCAAAGACCAAAGTCACTGTCACGAGTGACTCAATGATGACTCAGAGTGACCCTCGGTGGGTTTCTGAGACTGATACCAAGGGCTCAAGTAGAAAGAAAATGTCTTGAAAATAATGATGACAACAAATGTACAAATATGCTTGACACAATGGGTGCATGTATGTATGGTGATAAGAGCTGTATGAACCCCCAATAAATTAATTTTTGAAAAAATTTCAAAAGAGTCTTGTGATAGGTGATGAACTGTGACAAAAATACTCTTGCTAGACCCAGTAGGGAAACATCTCAGCCCTGATGGCTTTTTCCGTGTTGGTGGAGGCCTCCATTCCAGAACAAGGCAGAGCAGGAAGTGCTGCCGCAAAGCCTGCTCTACATCTCATTGTTTCCCCTGGGAAGCTTTCAGGAGACAGTTCTCATTGTCTCCCAGGGACTGATGAGGTATGCGCTTTGGTTACACTCCTCTAGTAGACATAGGCCAGATTATCTAGATAAGATAGATTAGCCAGAATCTGTTCCCTCCTAGTCTTATCTCAATTCTAGGCAAGGGGGAGGTGGGAATAGGCTCCTCCCACTCAGGGATTGTGCAGAGCTAAATCAGGGGAGAGAAGCCTTCCTAGAATCTGGTAGCACAGAACATTGTATGGGCCTAATGAGGGGATAAAGAGGATCTGGTTGTGCATCCCTCACCTAAGTGGTGGGTAAGGCATAAGGATCTGCCTATGGTCCTGCCTGTCCATATACTTCCAAGGGTTGAGTTAGAGTATAGGTTCCCAAACGTATTTGATATAAAACTAATTTTTTTCCAGGAAAAAAATTACTCAGTGCAGCCCCTGGCAATGAAAAACTTTGGTACTCTAGCTCATAGTCTAGAGCAGGGGTGTTAAACTGACGATCCGTGGGCTGCATGCGGCCCCCGAGGTAATTTTTTTGTGACCCACGGATGCTCTGAAATAAAATGAAAATAGAAAAAAAATGTTATGAGGAAAATAGCGCTTAGGGAAGATCGAGGCAATACTGTACACACAATTCCCTCGTTACATTTTATTTCAGAGCATCGTGGACCACAAAAAATTACCTCCGGGCCCACATGCAGCCCTCAGGCCACCAGTTTGACACCCCTGGTCTAGAGTAAAGTGTAGGCATCTGCTTTTGCAGCCTTCCTGGATCGGTCCAGTGCCCCCTAGTGGGGCAGTATTGCTCACTTTGGGAAACATCGGGTTGGGAGATAGAGCTTTTTCAAATGGCGGATAGCACAGAGCACATGTTGCTCACCTTTGGGAGGGTGCAGCTGCAGAAGATGGACTTGAAAGGAGCCTCCAGATTGGTGCCTTGTCATTTTTAGAAATTCACTTGTTGGGAGGAAGTGGAAGGTCACTTAAAATGGGGAAAAAGTGCAAGTTGTACTTACTGGTGATGCCCCTCCCCATGACACCTTTGCTGCTCAAGATGATCCAGGCCTCCTGCATGCCCCAGGGGGTAAATTAGCTGTAGCTACTGCGGGCAGTTACTCCTAACCTCTGAACTATGTGAAAACTCTGTTGTCTGTTTCTTTGTTAGTCTTCTATTTTCTTAAGGACCCGGTAAGGTTCAGGCAAAACTGAACTTTAATTTATCTTCTTGGCTTGAAACTCTGGGAGTGCAGGGTGTGGGGAGCTAGTTATTTTGTAAATTGAGAGGCTTGCGACTTGATACGTTGAATGCTCTGTTGTAAAATTTGTAATTGGAATTGATGTGCTTGGTGTTTGAGTTGAGAACGGTCATTAATGTGCTAGAGAGATTAAAAACACGTGTCTAAAGTTTTCAATGTAGAGATGAGGCCTTGAGTTTGACGAGCTAAAGGGGTCAATCTCCTTAGCAGAGGATGCCTGCCAGCAGGAGTGAGTGATAAACCCCAACCCAAACCCGGAGCCCACTTGCCAAGTTTCTCCAATCAATGGAGGCAGCATCACAACGCTAAATCTTCCTGACAGCTCTAGTACAAGTAGAAGAAGAAGAAAAAAAAACACCAACAAACAACTGGTACCTTTCCCAAAGTAAAGAAAAGACCAAAAAACTTTTTCTGATAAGGCCACTTATAATTCCTGCCCAAAGTTGGTCATTTGTCTTGCAGTTAAACAGGCCACATGGCCTTAAAAGGTCGACTGTATCAGACCCCTTACCTCCCTTCAGGGGTTATTAGCCATGCTCTGTGGCTGTCAAAAGACTTTTCCAAGCTACAGTTGTGTGGTTTCGGTCCCATCAGGGGCTCTGGAGACACCATGGAAGCTCTTGAAATGAATCTGTGACAACCTCCAAGTGTCCTTGATACTGGTAATTGTACTGGTTAAAAAAATGAATGGTTTGACTATGTGTGACATTTCTCTTGATTGTAAGGGATGTTCCCAATGGAGAAATGCCACTATTAGAAGAGTGGTAGTGGAATGAGGATTCAACCAGCACCCCGCCTGCTCGCCCAACTCAAACACACGTTCTCAGTGCAGCAGTGTAGGATGTCAGGGAACAGGAAGGAGGAAGATGGGAAAAATCTCTCTCTTGATTAAAGGGTTAGTGGAAAGAAGAGGGCGGAAGGAACCTATCCAATACGCAGTGGTTCTCAACCTTCCTAATGCCACAACCCTTTAATACCGTTCCTCATGTTGTGGTGACTCCCCAACCATAAAATTATTTTCGTTGCTACTTCATCACTGTCATTTTGCTGCTGTTATGAATCAGGCAACCCCTGGGAAAGGGTCAATTGACCCCCAGAGGGGTCATGACCCCCAGGTTGAGAACCGCTGCAATAGGTCCATGTATTTGGGCTGCTCAGCCATACCCACGGCACAAAGATGTGACTACTCAGCACGTCTTCGGTTTGGGCCATGGTGATTTGTTAGAATATGGCTATGCTTGATATATCCTGGGAGTCTTGAATAATGAACACATTGTGAAGATCTGACTCGAGGAATCATGAAAGATTCCACATTATTTCTCTACTTTTAACGCTTTGCTCTCCATTTCATAGCAGAGATGGTCAGCCTCCCCTTTAAGATTAAGTACAAAGCACTTAACCAGAGTTGCTACTCTCTAACTTCCCTTCACTGGCATTCACTGCCTTCTATGCAGGCCTTGGAACACTTTTATTTTAACCTCCTCCTCCTCTTTCAGTGAAGTGCCTATTGGACTATAAAGGAGGAGTGGTAATACTGTCGGCATTCTTGTCTAGGAGGTGATGTCTTAAGAGTAGAAAATAAAATAATCACAAATAAACTGTTCTATGTGCAATACTCATCGATGTGTAGCATACTTGTGCATTCTGCTTTTCTCACTTAAGCCTCCTTTTACCGTATGTGTGCATGAGCATAAAGTGGCTAAAAGACAATGAGAAAAAGAAGCAAAATGTTTGATACCCAGGAGTAGTTACTTTCCCCACAGTCCCTGTAGTTTAAGGGGAGCAAAGGCTGGTTGGAGATCAGCCATTACATGCAATCGAAAAATTGACTTCATAATTCCATCTGCTGCCATGTGTGTTATTCTCTATAACCCAGAAGGGCACTACCATTCATGGTCTCGGCCCAAGTTCGGGAGCATCCCTGTGAGAAGAATAAAGGATGATTTACACCTCTTGAGATTTTGATAGAATAGAGGTTTCTGCCCCATTACTGGAAAGTTCGCTTTAGCTGCTTCACTTTTACAAAAGACCTGCATTGCTACCTGCTTTTGCTCACTGAAAGAAATCTGAAGAGGATATATGCTTTTACACACACACACACACACACACACACACACACACACACACGAGGCAACATGCCTAGTGAGCAGCAAGAGCAGCCTGGATCAGCCCCTTCCCTAGGAACTAACTACACCGTCGCACTTGGCTGTGAACACTACTCCAGTGTTATTTTAGGTCTCTTGAGTTGTTTGGGATGATTTGCTAGGTTTCTCCTCAGGTTTGAGCCCTCAGAGATATTTCCTATATAAATTAATGGTAGTTGCTTTTTTACTTTACGGCATTTCGGCCTATGAAAGGTCTCAGAGGTCTCATACATTTGGATAGTCAGGCAGACCTATCTTCAAAAAAGATGGCTAATATCACAGATTTCTCCCTTTTGCAGATAACGCTGTAGATCCAGATGTATCCGCTAGAACAGTCTTTATAGATGTTGAAGAGATCAAGGGTAAATCTTGTTTGACCTTTACTGATGACGGATGCGGAATGACACCCCATAAACTACACCGGATGCTCAGGTACAAAACACCTTTAACCTCTTTCTCTTAGCTTGACTTTATGAACTCTATTTCATGTTTAATGATTTTCTTGAACATTTTACCTCCCTTTTATTGATGCAAGAAACATTTTCTGAGCATCAATGTTGTGCTCATGCACTGGTTATGAAGCAGAGTTCTGGCTTTCTTAAGGCCTATCTGGAAATTCAGATAATTAGGCGGTAAGCAGGATAGTAGTGAGGACAATGGTAGGAAGATATGGGATGCAATGAATGGGATCAGTCAGTAGGGGCCCTGATCTGGTTTGGAAGTCAGGACATGCCACCCAGATGAAGTGATATTTAACTGATATCTAAGGGTGAGTCAACTTTAGCTGGAGCAAGGAGCAAGGGACTGAGAGTTCAGGCAGTGAGAAGAGTCAATATGAGAACAGAAGGCTTTTATTGGTCTGAGATTTAGAATGGCTTAATAAATATATCTCCAGAGAGTCAAGTTAGAGCTGCCCCTGTGAGTTTCTGAGACTTGAACTCTTTGTGGTAGTAGAAAGCCTCGACTTTACAGCTAGCCACCCAATGTGTAACCCACTATGCCACCAGGGCTCCCTATAATAGCCTAAACTCATTCTTGCATCAGAAGTCTTAGAGTTGGAATGATTTGTGGATTACAGCCCTAAAGGTTAGCACCTGAGTATAATTAAGCCCTACAAAAGATAAGTAGAAAACATTCACTCACATGATCTATGAAGGTTTTAAAGTAGAACTGAAAAGGTGGGAAATTCTCTCTCTTCTCTCTCTTTCCATATGTTCAAAACGAACTTGTATGCCCACTTAAGTTTTCCTTTTCCTCTTGTTTTAGCCTTTCAGATCTGAGGGGTAAGTAATCTGGAGGGTTTACATTTTTAATTTGATCTCATTTAAATTTTTTTTCCTTGTTAAACCCTCTACTTCTCCCCTTTCCTCAGTCCCGCTCACCTTATCCCCACCCCAATGTCCTTGGCCTCCACATAGTCATCAAAATTTCACCTATTGATGTATAAACCATATTTCTTTGTCATTGTTTTTCCTTACAGCAATGACATTAAATACTTTGTAAGATTTGCCAACAGTTTGCAAGAGTTATCTAAGCATGATGTTTTCTAGTTTGGTCCGTGTCTTGTAGTGTTTAAGAGAATTGTCACTGTTTTTTATAGAATAAAGTTCCATATACCAGAGTTTGTTTATCCACTGCTCTGTAGTTGGGGTTTGGGGCGGTTTCCATGTTTTTGCTATTGTGGAAATTGCTGCAATAAACATAGGTGTACATATGTCTGTTTGTGTTTTACTCTTAATTTATTTAGAGTAATATACCCAGTAGAGAGATTGGGTTTGCATTTATTTACAGAAGTGTTATCCTGGTTTCCATCATGATTGTACTACAGATCCACCAGCAATGTAAAAGTGTTCCTATCTCACCACATCTTCTCCAGCATTTGTTATAGTCCGTTTTATTGAATTTTGCCAAATGTGTCAGTCTGAGGTGATATCTCATTATTTTAATCTGTATTTCTCTTATTTCATGTGGTTGTTGGCTGCCTAGATGTCATTTTTGGAAAATTGTTTATTCACGTCTTGTGCCCATTTTATTGATTGGATTATTGGTATCTTTCTTCTTAAAATATAGCAGTTTTCTATTTTAGATTTGCCCTTTATCTGATGTATTATTACTAAATATTTTTCCCATTCTCTGTTGACTCTTTTGATGGAGTTTTTTGATGTGCATAAATAACATATTTTTAGTAAGTCCCAGTCCTTTATTTTGCCTTCTATGGTGTGGACATTTTTCATTATGTTCAGTAGTGTGTATGTTTATTCCTATTTTTCCTTGATGATCTTAATAATTGACTGAGGTGTATTTAGGACTTAGATCCATTTGGAGTTTGTTTTCCTACACAGCATGTGGTATGGCTCTTGTTTCATTCTTGGGCAAGTGAAGATTCAGTTTTTTTAGTACACTTTGTTGAAAAGCCTGTCTCTGGCTAATTTAATGTGTTTTTTAGTTTGTTATCAAAAATCAGGTGTCTATAGGTATTTGGTTGTAGTTCTGGGTTTCAATTCCAATTTTGATTCTAATCTATCATTGTCTCAGTACCAGGCTGTTTTGATTACCATGGCTATTTAGTAGGTCTTTAAGGTCTGGGAGTGAAAGGCCGCCTACTTTGTTTATTATTTTTAATAGTGTTTTATTTATCCTAAGTTGCTTTTCTTTCCATATAAAGTTGGCAATGAGTTGTTCTATTTCTTTGAAACATTATGGTGGGATTTGAGTCTGATTGCACTGAATTTGTAAAGTAATTTTGATAATACTGATATTTTTATAATATTTAGTCTGACTCTCCAGGAACATGGTAACTTGTTCCATTTATGTAAGTTTCCTATGGTTTTCTTTGTATTTTGTTTCTCTGGTGAGATTTATTCCAAATTTTTTTTTCTCTTTTGTGTAGTTATTGTAAATGGTATTGTTCATTTGATAGATTTTTCAGTATCATCATCCAAAAATCCAACTGATTTCTCTATGTTGATCTTACGGCCTGCTATGCTGCCAAAATTTTTAATTAGTTTGAGCAATTGTTTAATTGAATCATTGGTGCTTTCTATAGATAGGATTATGTCATCTGCAAATGAAGAAACTTTTATTTTTGGGGGCCTTTGTGGATACCTTTAATTTCTTTTTTAATGTCTTACAGCTGTAGCTAAATTTTCCATTCCTGTGTTAAATTAAAGTAGTGATAAAAGACAACTTTGCCTAGTTGTTTTCGAAGAAGAAATGATTTCAATTTCTCCATTCAATGAGATGCAGTCTATTGGTTTTTATTAGGTTGAGACATTTCCCTTCTATACCTATTTTGTTGAGCGTTTTTTATTAGGAATGGATGTTGAATTTCATCAAATGCCTTTTCTGGTTGCCATTATTAAATGTTTTGATCAAAGACCTGCCATTCTTAAATGCAGATGGATCCTAATCAAAAGGAGGAAAAATGTGGAACAGAGGTTCCAATTACCATGGAAACCATTGAGACCAGGGGAACCCTTGGATTTATTGCCTGGAAATATTTTCGAACCTTGAACTGGAATAAAGTCATTTTAAAACTAAATTTATCACAGTGACTCTAAAGCACAGATGAGAACTTTTAAGAGGCAGAGGATCTAAATTAATGGTGGTAAAACAATATGGGTCGAGATAGTGAAACTGGTAACCTTTGTCTTTGACGTACATAATGTAAAACTGGTTGAATACTTGTTTGTTTTGTTGTGTATATTTTCAGCAAAAAAAGAAAAGATTAAGATATTAAAATACATCTTTAGATAGAATGAAATAAAAATATTTATATGCCCACTTCTGTATGTGCTAGGTGTTCCCCCCCCAGTATTGCATATATTCTTAATGACTTCTTACCCCCTATCACACCTTATTCCAGTGACATGGGGTCAGATTGTAGACCAAACAAATCTGGTTGCTTTTGATTTTGACTGTGGGATTAACATTTGTGAAAATTAGTTATCGTTGTAAGATAGGATTAAGAAGGAGGATGGTTTCAAAATAATAACGAACTCTTTGGGTTCCAGATTCATTCGTTCATTATTGTTATGATGGCTATTTTTTTGGGGGGGAACCTGTGACTTTGGGGGGAGAAAATAATAGTACAAAGCTCTTCTCCCTGCCACTGGATCAATACTGACTCATAGTGACCCCTTGTGGGTTTCTGAGACTATAATTGTTTATGGGAGGAGAAAGCCCAGACTTGTTCCGCACAAAACTCTCTAGCGCATAGAAATACTATTTGAGCTATATAGCTAGCACATTGCAATCATAACCACATTTTCAACTCTTTATAATACTCTTCCTAATTTCAGACTAATAAAATAGCTATATAACTGCAGCACAGTGTCTCCCACAGATACAAAATTTCTTTGAAATTCAAATGAAAATGAAAGGATAAGCCTCTTATTAAATTCATTTAAGGTCCTTTAGTTTATGGAAATAGTTTGTGAATCAGCTACTTTTTATATTCATCTGCCTTTTGAAGCAAGATGGAAATCTCTTTCAAAGTCAAGGATTTAAAACAACTATAGATCCCATAGATTGCAAGTATTTTACCTGTGTTTAGTAGTTTTATTTCATTTCCCCCCAAATTCAGAGGATAACAAGGTGCTCAGCAATCTATGATTCTCTTATATTTCGTAGTATGTCACCAATAATTCAAGGAAACAACAGTTCTGATCTTATCAGTTCCTGGCGCATGCTAATGTGTTTTCTTGGGCAGTGTCCCAACTGAAATTTACCCCCCTACAGTCTAGATTCTTGACATTTTAAAGTACATGGGAATAAGCTGCTTTATTTTTGGATTCCACCCAAAGAACAGATCTCCAAGCCCCTTGTACAAACAATGTTGTGTCTTCAGAGGGTTGATCAAATAGGACTGATATAGACGAAAGAAACTACTAGTCTAAGGCAAGAAATCCCTGTGGAAAATTTTTGAGCAATACCAACCTATAAAACTTATTCCTCAAAATAGATATTGTGTTAGTCTGGGTACATTAGAGAAACAAATCCACAGAAACTCATAAGTATAAGAGAGAGTTTTATATAAAGGGTAAGTGCACATCAAGAAAACATCCCTACCCAGTGCTGCCCAAGCCCACAAGTCCAACATTAACCCATATGTCCAACACCAATCCACAAAGTCCTCCTCCATCTCACAAAGCACACACAATGATGCCGGCTGCAGGAGGAAAGCAGAATCAGTGAAAGAGAGGGTAATCATCTCAGCACTGGCAGGGGTCTCCACGTGGCTGCTCCAGCACCCGGGGTTGCATTGGGGTAGGTACATGGGGCTTCTCCTTGGGGATGTCTTGCAGGAAGTGAGCCTTGCCAGCTGAAGCAGGGAACTGGCTAAGGTAACTGCACCCTGGTCTGACCATCACAAAGCAAGAGACCCAAGAACTAGAAAGGCGAAGCTCACCAAGCCATTTATCTCTCTGCACTTCAATTAACCCCACATGGGTTTATTGGCCAGGTTGGCACAATAAACTAACAACCTCAGATATTGAAAGAGAAGAACTTTTATTATAGATAGTTATTTGATTAGTAGCAATTGCCAGTGCTCATAAATCATCTTACCTATAAGATCACTATGAGTTGGAATCTACTGGATGGCAGTGCTTTTAAAACAAACATTGTATCAAATGATGGTACAAAATACAAATTCATAAATCCAAATTATTTTGTGCAGAGGCCCTGATTTTTAAATCAGAAGTAAGAGTAGAGGACAGCTCATGACCATTCTCAGAGTGGCTTCTAGAATTAGTTGAAAATCAAAATTAAATATTACTTTGTAATATGAAGGAAAGTCAAGACATATTGTTACTAGGCTTCCAGTTCACACACATTTGGGTTTATTCCAAACAAGACATTAAGCATGTCTCTGCAATCAGTAGATGAGTTGTCATCGTCTCCTTAGGGACAAAACCATTGGCTTCCTAGAGCCTCTGCTAGGCCAGTTAAAATTCAAGGCAGAGAGGTCAGCTGGGAAGGTTATGGCAACTGTTTGGAATTTCAAAGAATCGTTTTGATAATTTTATCAAAGGACACCTGGGGATCATGGGGTCTTATCAAGAAGTTTTAAGAAAGCTGAAAATGACCTTAGTGAGAGCAAGGCCAGAAACATTTCATACATGAATTTTTCCCAGTGGGACCATGCACTTGCATATTCTGTGAAGGTCGCTAGCAAAGGCTACAGGAATATTGTTGGGAAACTACCTTTGTTCCCCCTACAGTCCTGATCTTGCCCCTTCTGACTTCTTTCTGTTCCCAAAGCTAAAAGAACATTGGAAAAGAGCATCATTTGATTTCCCTTGAGAATGCCAAGGCTACCCGTATGATGTGTAAGTCCACAGAGCACAGAATCCTTCAGGGGAAAGTTGGAAAGATGGAAACCCTGCCTTCAGAAGTGCATAGACCTAGATGGAGGCTATGCTGAGAAACAATAGCTTCACAGTGTGATATTTTTGTTTAAGAGAAGTTTCGTGATTTGGGGGAATACTGTTTGAGTTACTCTTGTGTAGCTTCCCTAGAGTATATAATTTGATCCTTGTGATAACAGCTCCATATTTTCTGTCTAGCCATTTGTACCACAAAAGCCCTGAAACCCACTGCCCTGGAGTCAATTCTAACTCAAAGCAACCCTAAAGGACAGAGTAGAGCTGCTCCTTTGAGTTATTGAGACTGTAAATCTTCAAGAGTGGGAAGCCTCATCTTGCACCCATGGAGCAGTTAGCAGCCCTGTGCTTAGCTCATAGGGCCTCCAGGGCTCTAGAAATTAAGGAATGCCTAAATCTTACTTCTATAAGTTTGTTCCTGGAAGACCAGGGTCCATAGACTGCAGAAATGTAATGCTCTCTTGTTTGTTTGTTTGTTTTTCCCAAAGGAACCACTGCCCTACCAGTTACCCTTCTCTGTGGTTAGGTTTATGTGTAGGTCACACAAAGCACATCCAAAGTGTCCACTGTAGAATGACATAATGGCATCATTGTAAACCACTTTGAGGTAGAAAATTGAAAGTTAGCTTGCTTTCTTAAGGAGTAAACACAAAACCACAGCCTTCAGCTAGGGAAAGCCAACCCTCTCTGCTCCCAAAGGTAAACGGCAAGGCCAAGCTGCTGAGCTGTGGCATATAGAGAGTCCTATTGATATTGGAGAATCTGCATGCATGCATGAACTTTCCCCTGACACTGTCTCTCTGATTAACATTTGTGTCTGTTATACTTAACAGTGCAGGGCACGTCACTTAGTCAATATTTATTGACTGGATGGTAGTGTAAAACATAATAAAATTAGTCAATGTGGATGAAAACAATCTTAAAATTAATTTCACTTGTGGTGGAAAGAGAATTATGAGAAAGCTAAATCACCGTTTTTCATATTTCATACATTTTTGTTTCTTTGGTTCCGTTATTTTGGGGTGTGTCTGGATGGAGGTTATAAGAAAGGGAGGGGTGGTAAATCTGGTTTCCAGATTAAGCTGATCATTAGGGGCTACAGAGACTTGTTGAGGTGACTCAGTGAAAGGTTCTTAATAGAACAAGAGAGACTTTATGCTGCAGCTGTTTGCTGATATTCAAGGCAGAACTACCTATTTTTATCCCTTGGCCACATTCCAATGAACTGTCCCTGCAGATGGAGCAAAGGGTAAGTAAGAACGGGAAGGGTTATCCTTTGGTTGGAGAGTTGAAATTGTCAAGAAATATTATCTCTGGCTTTCAGATTCCTAGAGGGTGACATTGCCAGGGTCGAAGATGCCTTGACTCGTCCTTCGGACCAATATCACTGTTAGCCACTTTGGATATACTCGGAGATAACCACCTTTTTGATTCCCTCCAACTTTCTTTCTAGCCATCAAAGCTATTTGACAAGAAAGGCAGCTTTCCCTGGCCTTCTCCAGCTTATGTCTGTTCAGTGTGGGTTAAGGGGCATTCTTTATTGTCACATGCAGTGTTTCTCAGAGTGGGCAATACCACCGCCTGGGGATGCTGGAATGATCCAAGGTGGCTGGAAAAGCAAATACTTCCATTTGATCCTGGATTAGGGGCTATAGTGCAAAAGTTTTCACTGCCAGCGGTGAACTGAGTAATCTTTTTCTCTGAAAAGGTGGAGGTAGGTCATAAATGTGGGAACCTATTGTCTACTGTATGGGGACTGTTTGTATACACACAAATCACACAAAAAACTCAGTCCCATTACCCTATAGTAATTTCCTGTGTTTTTAATAATGCCAAAAGGAATAAAAAAAAGGTAGGGGCTTTTCTAAGCGTTCTTCATTTGTTATCCACACATTCTACCGATGTTAGGGTGCTTTGCATTTGTCTGACTTCTTTTTTCTTGTGTACTTACAGCTTTGGCTTTACAGATAAAGTAATGAGGAGGAGCCAGTGTCCGATTGGGGTCTTTGGTAATGGTTTCAAGGCAGGCTCCATGCGGCTAGGAAAAGATGCTCTTATCTTCACCAAGAATGGGGGTACTCTCACTGTTGGGCTCCTGTCCCAGACCTATCTGGAATGTGTCCAGGCCCAGGCAGTTATTGTACCAATTGTTCCATTCAGCCAGCTGACAAATATCCTTTTTGGAAATGGGGAATGCTGATCAAAATTTAGTCTATTCAGATCTCTTTGGGTACAATTAAGCTATCAAAAGCCCTCTTTAGTCATGATGCGGAGTGCAACTAATGACACTTCATTGTACATTTCCAAATGGTTAAAATGACCATATAAAAAAATTGTTACATGTCATTTACCACAATAAAATTATTTTTAAACAATGTCACCTCAAAAGGGATATTATTAACATACTGCAAGTATGTGAATATGTAACTGGAATTTCCCTATAGTAAACATTTTTAAGTAAGTGGCTAGAGACTTAGACATGTTTTTGTTTCGTTTCTTTGCTATTTGAATTTTATTGCCACGGAATATATCTCCCTCCTCTACTTCTTATCATGATAAAGGTCCCTGCCCCTCTCTGATGTTTTTCCCTAAGGTTAGCTACATTTGTATTAATGCTCCTAGAAAAAAATTCTATCCACCATCATTTCTCGATACACCTGTTTTCTGTTAAACGCCAGGTCATCTTGACCCCAGCAGCAAAGCAGTGAGTTTTGAACTCATTGCCTCCAGAGTGTCAAAGTATTCCTCAAATAAGGGGCCACCTTTGGTTTACACTATATCTTTTAGGCTCTATTAGGCAGGGATAACTACTTTTATTGTCGAGCTTCATAGCCTCTTCCCATAGCCCCCACTTTCTTCTATATCACTAACACCCTGCTTAATGTTGTAATTCCCCCCCCCCATAAGCACACAACCCAAAACCCTTTTTGTTTCGGTAGCATCCACTAAAGCAGTGAATTTTTCCTTGACTCCCTTTGCTTCTACAAAAAATGATTGTCACTGAGGATTCCTTGCCCAGCCTAGAAGCCATCTTGAACTATTCCGTTTTCAACAGTGAAATTGAACTTCTGTCCCAGTTTGACACCATCCCAGGCAAAAAAGGCACTCGCATTCTCATTTGGAACATCCGCAGGTACAGTATTCCCAGAGTGGTCGATGGTAATCAGCAAACATCCTCTCCCTCGCACAGAGCAGAGTAGATCAACTTGGATACATACTGTATTGTAGCTCATTTTGTGTATCTTTTTGCCAAAACCAGTTTTCTTTGTGTTAGTGATTCTTGTTGATAAAATGGGGAACTTACTAAAGGGGCCAAGGGCTGGGGAAGAGGGTTGCATGCCAACCTGGAACCTTTTGCCACAAGTAGTCAAAGGCATTTCAACATTATTCCAAGGTCTTCCGACTCTTTTATAATTATTTAGTTCATATTCAGACAAGTTTAAAGTATAATGATCTTGACGTGGTCATATCTTCAGAGCTACACACATTCTAGCAATATTCTAGGACAGGTTATTTATTTAATATTGCCATGTCAAAAGGAATAATGTTAAGAGGGGTCACTAAACCCTAAAAACTTTTAGCATGGAATAGAAGTGGTACTGGTATATTTAATAAAAAGAGTACCCGATAAAGTCTTTTGTTTCTCCTTGGTTCAAGAATTTAGTTTCCTTTCTAAGCTGGGTAAAACTTTGAGGACCCTGCAAGTTTGTATGGAGAATACTTCCAATTAAAAAGAAGAAAACGTAATAAGGGCTCACACACTGGCAATTTAGATTTTTCTGAGTCCTGCTGGTGAAACTCCAAGTAATAACATTTGTATTCTAAGGCTCACTTTCTGAAAGCATTTTTTAGTGATAGACATATTTTTAACAACCTTAATTTGTACATTGTTTTTTTCTGTGGCCTTAGGTGTCACAAGACCAAGTTCATCGTGTTGTTTTGCTGTAAGGCTTCTCAGAGATGTTAATATGCTAATATAGATTGAGATAATTTAAGAAAGCAACATAGTGTGCAACATTCCCCAATTAAAAAACATTTTTTTCTCCAACCCTGCTGTGCTTGATTAGGTTGTGGGCAGGGAGAGCACTCTTCAGAGAAGGTGAGCATCAGCGTTGTCCTTGAAAAAGCTAGAATGTACCATTACAGCAACAAGGGCTTTATTCAACCTATACTACATTAGTGGCTCTGGCCTCGCCATGAAGAAAGAACCATAATTTGTAACCCAGCGACTTTGAGCTCGTGAAGCCCAAAGTATGAGGAGGAAATATAGGAATTTGAGCAGGTTCAGAGGGCGAGGAATTGTACCTCAACTCTCTCTCTCTCTCTCTCTCTCTCTCTCTCTCTCTCTCTGGAGAGCTATTGTTCCAGGAAAAGATATTGGGAACTATTGTTTGATAAGTAGCCCGGGTGACCTGACGTAAAGTGCTCCGCTGTTAATGGAAATGTTAGTAGATTGAACCCTCCCATGGCTCCCTGGGGGAAAGCCCGTGCCATCTGCTTCCATAAAGATTAAAGCCTAGAAAACCCTATGGACCATTTCTGCTCTGTTGCAGGGGGTTGCTATGAGTCAAAATAGACTCAATGGCAGCTAACAACATTGCTCTGATAAATACACACTCACACACAGGGCCCGCCCCCCAAAAAAGGATTTTTTTCAAAGCTATGTCTTTAAATTTTTTTTTACAAAACAACTTTATCACCTTCAAAGTACTCTCCATTACTCTTTATACATTTGTCAAATCTGCGATTCCATTCTTGGAAACATTTTTCAAACTCATCTGTATGGATGGCTGACAGCCCCTCCCTGGCTTTATTTTTCTTCACCTCTTCTATGTCATCAAATCACTGCCCTTTCATGTCCCTCTGCGTTCACGGAAACATGAAGTCCCACGGAATGAGGTCAGGTGAGTCAGGTGCGTGGGGAAAGAGGCATGCAGGTTTTTGTCAATAACTGGGGCACTGAGATGGCTGTGTGAGCAGATGCACTGTTATGGGGGCAAAACCAGGCCCCTTTCTGCCACAAATCAGGCCTTTTTTGTCACACACTGTTACACTATTTTTACAGAACCTCTAAATAGAGAGCTTGATTAACAGTCTGACCTGGCGGAATGAACTCCAAAATGCACTGTCCCCTCAGATCACATCCATTTTTTTTAGACTCCTTCATGTATATAATTTTCTATAACCTGTCATTTTGTTGCCCCCCCCTCAGAAATAGAGATATATTTTGCCTTTGTTCCCTGGAAGTTGTTAGTGCTGTAGACTAGGGCTTGGATGAGACCAAAGTTAAGTGACTCAAAAGGATTTAGAGGAAGAAGAAAGGTCCTTAGGAAAGGAACATTAGTACTATTATATTTATATCATAAATGATATTCTGAGGACTAGAGATTATATACTGTTTTATAACAATATTTTCCCCCTCTTCTAATGAATAAACTTAAATCTGGGGAAATTTTATGTCATTAGTCCTCATATTTTTCACTACAATGAACAGAACTAGATTGTAGTTCATCTGTTCATTCAGTTAGGAAAAGTGATGCTGAGTGCCTTACCCAACAATGCCCAGAAAGCTGGGGTCTATTTTAAGATCCTGCTTCAAGGATAGCTGACATCCATTTGATTTATCAAATTACAGCTATTCCCACACTGTCTTTTCTTTCCTTATGAACTTGGCAGCACCACCCTTGTGCATCATAGACTTAGACCAAAAATAACCTTAAATGTGAGTGTTATATGCTTCCCCAAGCTAAGTGGTTGCTAACTCCTTTGTGTTGGTAGTTAGAGACATAAGTTTGGGGTCACATTGTCCCATTTCTCTTGGATTCCTAGGGTATTTTTGTCACGTGCAGCCTGTTTTTATTACACTGATGCTTGCCTCTTTTACCCAGAAATAAAGATGGAAAGCCTGAGTTGGACTTTTATACAGATCAATATGACATCCTGGTATCAGACTTTGGCACAGACCTGAGAACAACTGGTAGTACCTCGATAATTCCCGAAACAGAGTATTCTTTACGGGTGAGTCAAAGTTGTTTTTCTCAATGGCTGCGAGGTAAGCTATCCTCTAACATGAAAGATTATTTGTCAAGGATTTGGTCTTTCTTGGATCCACAACCAATGCTCATGGAAGCAGTAGCCAAGAGATCAAAAGATGTATTGCATTCGGTAAATTTGCTGTATTAGACCTCTCCAGAGCATTGATGAACCAGGATGCTACTTTGAGGACTAAGGTGTGTCTGACCCAAGCCATGGTAACCTCCATTCCATTATCTGCATGTGACGATTGGACATTGAATAAGGAAGACCACAGAGGAATAGATGCATTAGAATTGTGCTGCTGGAAAAGAACAGTGAAAGTACCGTGAACTGCTAAAAGGACAAACTGATCTGTGTTGGAAGAAGTACAGCCAGAGTACTCCTTAGAAGCAAGGATAGCAAGACTTCATCTTTCATACTTTGGACATGTTGTCAGGGGAGACCAGTCCCTGGAGAAGGACATCGTGTTTGGTAAAGTGGAGGGTCAGCAAAAAAGAGGAAGGCTGTTGATGAGATGGATTGACACCATGGCTGCATCAGTGGGCTCAGGCATCGGTACAATTGTGAGGATGGGTGGGGGTGGGGGTAGGGGCTGTGGGCAGGACCTTACAGTGTTTCATTCTGTTGTTCATCGGGTCACTATGGGTCACAGCCAAGTCGGTGTCACCTAACAACAACGGCAACAACAAAGATGACATCCTTTTAGCATTGTGTTGGGATTCCTTTCACTGTCTCCATGGAAATAGTTTAGTTATTAGGAAGGGGCTTCCAAAAGTTCATGGAAAAAATGGAATTCAAAGAAAATGAAAATTTCCCACAAGCTTTTGAGCCCTCTCATAAAGGTTGCAGCACTGTAATGTGTTAGTTAGCATTATTATAGCAAAGAAACAGCGCCATATCTTTCCCAGGAATAGACCTCAGTTGCTGGCATGACTTTATGGGTGTGTCGGTAGAAGTGACACTAACTTATAGTAACTCTTCGTTGTTCCATAGGCTTTTTGTGGTATTCTATATATGAAGCCACGAATGAAAGTTTTTCTACGTCAAAAGAAGGTGAGGACCCAGCTGATTACCAAGACCCTGGCTGGTGTAGAACATGAGCTGTATAAACCCAGTTTCATAGTATCCTTACAACTACTTGAAACTGACCTCTTCATTTTAGTGTTTCAGGTTGGTTGGTGCTTTAAAACCAAAAAAGCTTTCCTTTCTCAATTCAAAGAGGTGTATAATAGCACAAATTCCATTATATTCTAAAGAGGTGGTTCTTAAATGCCATGTAAGCACCAGTCGTATCAGACAGCACCTAGAAAATTGTTAAATAATATAGATTCCGGAGATTTCGGAAACTCTAGTTCAGTTAATTATTTTTTTAAAATCAGAAATCTTTGTTTTTTTAAAAAAAGCTCCTTAACTGATTTTAATGGATAGTCATATTGGAGTATCTCTGCTATAAAGAAGGAATCTCTGATGGCACAGTGGCACTATGCTTTGTGCTGCTAACCACAGGGTTCGCAGTTTGAAACCACTAGCCCCTTCCATGGGAGAAAGCATAGGCTTCCTTTTCCAGTAAAGAGTTACAGCCTCAGAAGCCCACAGGGGGAGTTCTACTCTGTCCTTATAGGGTCTCTCTGAGTTGGAATTCACTTTGATAGCAGTGAGTTCAGGGAGAGCTATAAAGACTAAGCCACAATGGTTTGAAATGGAATGTTGTTATATATTACATGGATTGATTGAAATAAGCAAAATGTTGACTAGGTCTTGTTCATCTTTTACTTACAGTGAGATTTTTGTTGCAGCAGGTCCAAGTTTGTATGCATGGAAGTTAGGAGAGTGAAAATTAAAGATCAATTTTATAGGGTAAAATGATTCTTCAACAGGTTTTATGTAGATTACCCAACTCAATCTGGACGTGAAGATTTTAGTATTTGCTTTTCATGAAAATCAGCTTCTTGGTTTTTCAAATTTGAGTAGGACTTGTTAAATACCCTTATGTCATGCAGTCATTTATTTTCTTTAGAAACATAATTGTGATTTAGGTGAAGGCTTATAGAACAGATCACTATTTTTACATTCAACAGTTTAATATGCGTTTTGTTTCGCCTTAGCTGTCTCCATCACGCCAGTGTGCCATCACTTGCCCTACTACCGCTCACAGTGTCCTGTTTCCATTCCTCCTCCTTCCCTAGCCCTCTGTCCTTGGGTAAATGCAGTGCTTTGATCTTAAATGGCTGAATCTTCTAACAAGAGAGGTCAGGTCAGCTCCAGACCTGAAGGATGACTAAGGACCATGGTCTTTGATTGTGCTTTGTATCATTAGCAAGACTTACCTTATTGCTTATAATTGTGTGGATTTGTGTTAAACCATTTACAGTTCTTAACAAAACCCGTGAGCCCTAACAGTAAATTGAATTCCTAGCAAGGGTCTATGGAATGTTTTGTGACTATTTATGTCTCATTGATGATAATGTGGTATATTTCTTGCAATCTTTATTATGCATATATTCATATCTATGTATTTGTAGACAATGTTTGTTGGTATATTCTGAGCATTTCCTAACATTCCCACTACTTTTTTTAAATGCATCATTTTAAAGATCTGCATAATAACACCAGTATATAGATATAGCTGTGTTTATTTAATCATTCACTTATTGTTGACTATTTAGATTACATTTACCTACGATTATAACTGACAAAACTTTATAGCTCATAAATATTGTAAGCTTCCATGATGGTTTTTGTAGGCTAGATTCCTAAAAAAAGAATTATTTGATCAAAAGTAGGAAACATGTTTTTATTTTATATTTTATTGCTATACTATAATTTTTGAATTGCTCTCCTGAGAGGTTTGTACCAATTGTCATCCAATGATGTTTAATGCCTATTGCTATGCTAGAGTGTCAATTTTTATCTGCTTAACCTCCCAGTGTTTGCCTCCTTAATAATTTTCTTCTCAGAATAAGCAGGTGAGAATCACTTTTGGGTTCTCTTGCAAGAATAATGGCCAGTTTGGAATAATGATGTATCACCACAACCGTCTCATTAAGGCATTTGAGAAGGTGGGATGCCAGCTGAAGGTAAGTGGTTAATGTTTCTTTGCCTTAGAGGGCTCAGGAGAGCAGGGAGAAAGTGTCCTGATTCTAAAAGGGGATCAGCAGAAAGCAAATGTTTTGAGAATGATGATGGTAACAAATGTACAAATGTGCTTAACACAATGGATGCATGTATGGATTGTACTAAGAGCTGTACGAGCCCCCAATAAAATGATTTAAAAGGGGGGTGGGAGATCAACTCCTTAATAGTGTTTACTCCCATTTTATGATGGTTGTTAAATCTAACCAGGAATTGTGTGTTACCAGTGAGACATCTTGTGTAGAAAAGCTTAGTTTACCTCACATTTTTCATAGGTGTTAATCAACCTGGAAATTCCCTGAATGCATTCACTAGGTAGCTGTTCATATGAGATGGAATGACAGCATCAGTGACCTTCCCCTGTGTATCAGTTTCTTGGTGTTTAAAGTCGCTTCTCTCTATTTTGGGGCTGGCAGCAATAAGGCATAGTAGCAGCAATAAGGCCCTAAGTTCTTTCATTTGCCAGCTGTGTAACCCTAGAGAAAGTGTTAATTTTTCTGAGACACAATTTCCTTATCTGTAAAATGGAAACAACAATAATAATCGTACCTGCTTTGCCTACCTCCCAACTTGAAACGGTCGTGGGTTTTAATTGGGATAGTCAGGTGGGAATAGTTTAGAAACTTTAAAGAACAACAACACTGTACCAATGTTACTGTCATCTTTAATGTCCTAATGACAAGTTAGAATCGTGATTTCCATACACATCCCATTCATGCTTGTTTTAAAGATAAGAGTGCGAAAGCACAAAGGATGAGAAATTGCTCTGTGTTACAGTAGGTTGGAGCTCTATAAGACCTTAACTTAGCTAGTGTTTGACCTTGCTTGCTTTTACTTACATTTAGGAACCAGTGTAGGTACTTCGACTCATTTTCTTCCATTAAAGAAGAAGAAATGAGTTGAGATCCAAAGGTCTTTTCCATCAACTTGCCATTCATAATGACTGCAAACCTTACTTTTTAAATATCGGTGTGGTGGTCTACATCTGTGAAAGGATTATTTATTTTCATAGATTGGATATGATCATCCAGTACATCCTTAATCTTTTTATGTATAAACGTGCTTTTTTAAAGCAGTGTAAGACTTATTCCAATGAAGTCTTATGGACAGCCTAGAGAATGAGATCCATGCAAGTAAAGACCATGTCGGTGAAGCAAAGATGGCAGTTAATCCTAGAAGAATCTTAGGGATCCATGAATCATAGAATGACAATCTCCACCCTAACATTTGCAATTGGTTCCAGTACAGTGTAATACTAGGCAATCAACTAAAGGACATTCTCTATGTTGCACTAGATCTTGATGGCCTTCTTTGCCCATGAATGTTCTATAACCTTTCTGTTATTATTTGGAATCAAAGGAAATACCTTCCGGTAGTCACCAGCAATATGAGTGTTAAAATGTTTGGTTTGGCTTCCTCCCCGCCCCCCCCCCCATCTAAGCCAACTCATGGAGAAGGTGTGGGAGTCATTGGAGTCATAGAGTGCAACTTCTTAAAACCTGCCTACAACAAACAAGATTTTGAGTATACAAAGGAGTATCGGTGAGTCACTCAACCTAATGGGATTCTGACCATTTCTACAGAGGGGAATCTATTCTTTGGCTTTGGGGTGGGGTGCGCACCTCAAAAACAAGTCAGATAAGTTAACGGAGAATTCTTGCAAATATATTTTCCAAAATTAGGGAGGAAATTATTTTGTTTTAAAATTAACATCTGTTGATACTTGATATATGCATTGGGCTGCTAGCCAGAAGGCCAATGGTTTGAAACCATTAGCTTCTCCTTGGGAGAAAGACAAGACTTTCTAAATCCAGAAAGAGTCACAGTTTCAGAAACCCACAGGGGCAATTTGACCCTGCCCTATAGGCTTGATCTGAGTTGGAGTCAACTTGGTGGCAGTGAGTTTGGTTTGGGTTTGGATACTTGACAGTTGAGATCAATCTGACCTGTAGAAACCATGGAAGGGAAAGAGCATAGGAGTCATTTGGTAGAATGGTTTTAGTGAAGCAAAAAGTCACAGAATTGATTTTAATAGTAATTTAAAAAGTGATGAGTGGATCTTCAGGTGTTCAGTATGTTGCGGGGGGAAAATAGAAATTTAAAGTTTACATTTAAACATTTCTTGAAGTCAATGAACAGGTTCAGAGGAACGTATTGGAGTGGTGAGTGCTTTCAGGGAAACCTCTAGGTTTAATAGGGAATAGAGACCGGGGAGAATTTACAAAGGAGTTTGACATTGAGGCTGAGCCAGCAGGGATATTTTTAGAAGGCAAAGACAGCAGTTGTTAAAGCCAGGAAAGAATAGTTTGTTTAAAACTTTGCCAGAGGAATAGATCTTTCATTCCTGAATGAAATATCACGAGATCCCTCCTATTTCCCAGGTACTAGGGAGAGAAGGGGTGATGGATCGTAGTGGTTTTATGTTGGGCTGCTCACTGCAAAGTCAGCAGTTGAAAACCACCAGCCTGTTCACAGGAGAAAGTCTGGGACTTCTACTTCTGTAAAGAGTTACAGTCTCAGAAACTTGTAGGGGAAGTTCTACACTGTCCTATAGGGTCACTGTGAGTCGGACTCAATGGTAAGGAGTTTGGTTTTTTGTTTGTTTGTGTGAAGGACATGAGGAGGAGTCCTGATGACATAGTGGTTATGAAATGGGTTGCCAATCATAAGGGCTGCAGCTGGAAATCACCAGCCTCTCTGAGGGAGAGAGATGGGGTTTTCTACTCCCATAAAGAGTTACCGTCTCAGAAACTCACAGTGGCAGTTCTACCCTGTCCTTTTGGGTTGCTTTGAGTCGGCATCGACTTGATGGCAGTGAGAGGTGCGTTAAGGAAGAGCCCTGGCGCTATATGCTGTTGGGTAATCAGTGAACTGCTAATCCCAAGGTTGGTGGTTCAAACCCACCAGGAGCTCCACAGGAGAAAGAAGAGGCTATCTGCTCCCGTCCAATTTACAAAGTTAAGAATCTCTGACTCCTGTGAATATATGCAAATGAAAGGCCCTACTACCTAGAAAGTAATTGTTTTAATGGGGTTTAGATGGAGAACTTGTAAGTATGCTTAAGGGAGTCAGGGAAAGTTTCACAAAACAGATTACATTTGAGCTGTAACTTAAGAAAAACTTAGGCATTTGTTAAGTGTATAAACGGGGAAAGGACATTGTAAACAAATGGAAGGTGCATTTTTGGGAGTTTGGGAGAAAGAAGGCATGAGCAATAAAGATATATTTGGTGTAATTTTCCTTGAACCATGCTTTAAGTTTTATCTGGAACCAGAAGAGTTGTAGGTTTATTGTTCCTCAAAGAGGCAAACTGCTTACATGGGAACCCCAAGTTAACTTGTGGGCAGTTGATTCTTGATCACTCAGTGGTTATGGTTATGGTTTGCCCTCATTTTATGCAAAAACTTTCTTTTAAATATGACTCTGCCTCATAATGGGGTTCTTTGATCTGAATTTGACCCATAAGAGTTGATGACTTCGAAATGATAACAGTTTCATTACAATGTCAAAGCTACAACGTCTTTCTACATCATCTATATCACCCTTTCAGCAAACTTTCTAATAAAACTTCCTTTTAGACTTTAAGAAGTATCCCAACTTGCTTGGCTTAAAATAGCTAGTTAGGGTGCATGATGAGTATGGGTGCTTGTTGGATAACCACATAGAGATACAGTTAGACATAAAAGGTTCCCAGTTTAAGAACCATAATATCTGCTACACAGTTCTATTCAAAACGGAAATAATATGCTGTCCCTTACATGGAGTCTTTTGAGGATAATAAATTTACAGAGTTCTTATTCCACTCCATTTATCTTATAAAAAATGAAAGGACATTCAGTAGAAAACCAAGAAAACTTAATCCAAAATCATCAGACTTACTTGTCTGATAGAGAATCTGGGTCTCTTTAAGACCCTTAGACAACCCATCATACACAGAGCTGAATCTACCCCTGTGGATCAACTTTCAATCAATTGATGGCCAGGCCTGTAAAATGAACACACAGTACCTGTGAAGCATGTGCTCCTTAGACGAAGGAATCATAGGGGACCAAAAGGGCTGGATTTGCCAAAAAACCAAGGTCAAAAGGCAAAGTGGGCAAATGACTGGAAATGGGGATCCCAGGGAGGAATTAGCAGAGTGGACTGCACACTAATTAGCTTAATAATGCTTGGTGCTTCTGATCGACCCCCTGATTCATTGTAGAGTGTTTTCCAGTCTGAAAAGCTGGCGAGTGGTTATTGAAGGCACCACGAATGGTATTCATTCACCTGGAGCAACAGTAAAAGGAGAATGAGGAAGGTGAGGGGGCTTCATGAAGTTCATGGAAAAGTGGAATTTTTGGAAATTCTGTTTTCCCAAGAACTTTTGGAAGCCACGTCATAAGGAAGAAGATGAAGGAATATGGGGCTGTTTGCCTTGATGAACACTTTCTTCCTTTACCACGGAATCAGAAGACCTGGAGGATACCTGACTACCATTACTGAATAGTTTGATCAAAGGTTTTCTAAAACAATCCTGATCTATAAATTTTCTAATTCTCATGGGCTGCAGACTTTTTGGAGCCACGGAGATGGGATGAATTCCTAAAAGGGTCGCACACCACCACCCCCAACCCCCAGATAATCTTGAAGCCGGAAACCATAAATTTGCTCTGAAGTCTTTTTTAAAAATCAAACAATGATTTCACTTAACTAGTAAACAAGGTCTGCCTTGAGCAGTATACACTTTTAAGATGTGTCTGTGTGAGATAAAAGTAAACACAGTAACTGGAAGGATCAATTAGGTACCCTAGTGGGCAGTGAGTTCTGTAATGGAGGAAGAACAAGTCAGAAACACAAGGTGAGGACGGTCCGACCGGAAGAATGTAGTCAATGTGACTGAATTGTGTCCACAGAACTTGTGTTATTTGGCTGTGTATATTTCTCAATAACAACAAAATAATTTTTTAGAACGAAAGAATTTGATACTGGATTAGAAAAGGCTGTCACTTTCATAAACCTATCCTGAGAACACTCTAAACATCAAAACCATAAATGTTTAAAGAGCTCCCAGCCATCCTACTCTTAAAATGTCTGCAAATTCATCATCCACGCTGTCACTTGGAACAGTTGTAGAGATCAGATTTCAGCTCCAACAGAAAACACTTCAGATTGAATTTCAGGGGAGAAATACTTTCAACACATATTAATTGAGCCACCCAACTGGTGTCGAGCACAGCGGTTAGGTTTTGTGGCGTTTTCCTGAGAAAATCAAGATATGGTTGCTATCCTTAAGGAATGTAATGGTCATTTATAATGACAGATTCTCATTTACAGGAAACAATTTACAAAACTAAATTCATTGCCATCGAGTCAATGGTGACTCACAGTGACCCCCTATGGGTTTCTCGGACTGTAAATGTTTACAGGAGTGGAAAGGCCAGCCTTTCTCCTGAGGAGCTGCTGACAGTCTCAAACTGCCAACCATGTGGATCATAGCCCAACATAGCCCAAGAACGATACCAGCAGGGCTCCTGGAAACAATTTAGAGAACAATAAGTGCTTGGTTCTGTCAAAACCGAAGTAGTGTAGCATCAGAAAATGGCCCTGATAGTATAGTTAGGGGAGGATTTCAGTAGGCAATACAATGTGCCTTAAAAAATATGAAGGAGATTTAGATGGAATTGGAGTATAAGCTAAGGTGATAGCAGGAGCTCAGAACAGTAAGCATATGGGGAGTCGTGTGGAGAAGGTGAGGTAACTAGAGTGAAGGGAAATAAAGTTAGATGGACAGAGGAGCAACGCCATTTCCTAGTACAACATCTGGCGAATGTTTTCAGTAAAGCGACAGATTGTAAAACTTTAATCTTTGCAGAGCAACCATACGGTCTTGGTCACAATGACTCAACTGCTATGATATGAGAGCAGCCATAATTAATATGTCAAGGAATGAGTATGGTCATGTCTTTAAAACATTTTTTTGTTTACCAAATCAGAGAATGGGCCAGGTGTGGCCCACAGAAATGTTCTTTCCTCCCTTTTCTAAATCGCATGTCTTGTGTGTTGCCCTCCCCCCATTTTCAAAAGAATTCATGGAGAATTCATGTTTTTTTACAGTTTTATTGACATGTATTTCACAAACTGTACAATTCAGTGGTTCCATCATATTAAGAGTTGTGCACAATCACTTATCTTTTTAAAGGAAATTTTTCAAGGGCATCTTAATTGCCACATTTATTCCACTGGCTATAGTTTTATGACCCCCATCCTAGAGCTGTGGTTCCCAAACTGTGCCAAGGTACTCATAGCAAACCAAAAAGAGAGCTGTGTGCTATTTTACATTTTTGAGGGAAATAGATCATTCGACCTCTGTATTTGTTTCTCTGTTGCTTTGATGACAAATTAATCGCAAACTCTCAGTATCTTAAAGCAACACACATTGATTGCCTTACAATTTTTCAGGTAGATTTTCTGTTCTTTTTTTTTTGCCATGATCATTTTTTTGGATCATTTTATTGGGGCTCATATGACTCTTATCACAATCCATACATACATCAATTGTGTAAAGCACATTTGTACATTCATTGCCCTCATC